GGGGCGAGGAGCCGAGCGTGAGCCCCGGAGTAAAGGGGCGAGGAGCCCGGCATAAAATGCAAAGTTTCCACTTCGGACTAAAGCTGGCATAATCGAGAAGCGAACCTAGAGTGAGAGCAATAGGAGTTGGTGTCAAGGAGTGTACGCGGAGTAAGGGGCAAGAAGAGTTAAAAGCTAAAACAAACAAGGGCAAAAGCAGGACAGTGACCAGGAGTGAGAGAGACGGGAGTGACATTCGGAGTAAGGAGGGAGTTTGAGGTGCCTCCTCGCTGGGTGCCCTGTGCCCAGGCTCCTGCTGTGGATAGGGTCAGCTGTTCACTGCAGTAACCGTGGGGCAGTGGCTGGAGAAGAGAACGAGGGAGGATGACAGTGGATTCTCCAGTGCCAAGTAGTTTTTTTTGATTATTAAGATGGGAGTATGGGACTTGATAAGTGGAGGGCACTGAATAAAAGAGCAGGAAGATTATGATGGCGCTGTATATTGTTAGTTACACCACAGCTGAAGTACTGTATGCAGTTCTGGCAGCCACACTGAAGGAAGGATGTAGTTGCTCTAGAGAGGCTGCCAAGGTGATTCACTGCTGTGGTACTTGAGTAGATAGACCGGGGGTATTTTCCTTCGAGCAGTGAGGGCTGAGGGAGAACCTGATTGAGGTGTACCACATTGAGGGCCATTGATAGGGAGGAACTTCCCCCTTTGGAGTGGGATCAATAACCAAGGGGGTATAGATTCAAAGTAAAGGGGTAGTGTGTTTAGATGGAATTTAAGATTTTTATTCATCCAGAAGGTGATAAAGGCAGGAACCATCATAATATTTAAGAAATATTCAGATCAGCCCTTGCAACAGTTCTGACTGAGCAGGAGTGGGACTGAGTTTCCACAGTGTATTGGAGGAAGCTGTTTGGGTATACTGTTACAGTGTTTGTGCTACATCCTGACTTGTGTGTGATTATCAGAGTTATGGGTCTTCCGTTCAGCCTGGTGGGGAAGGAAAGGAACAGCTGCCAGTTCCCATCCCCCCTCATTTGCAGCGGGTTGTATTCTGTGCAGCATGACCTGCTTCACCCTCGCAATCCTCTGAGGTATCTGCACTCCTCTAAATCTTGCTCCTTGAGCATCCTCGATTTTATTCACTCTTCCAGTGATAACCATGCCTTCAGCTCGCCTGGTCTTTAAACTCTCTGCTTCCTTCCCATAATCTATCTACTTTTGTCTCCTCCTCTAAGACACTGTTTCAGAATGAGCTGCGACTAAACTTTTGGTCGGCTGGTTTTATTATTTCTTCATGCAACTTGGTGGCAAATGCCCTGTGAAACATATTGGAATGTTTCACCACATTAACGGCACTTTTTAAATACAGATTGTTGTTTTGTTTGGTAAGTATTAGTTTGGGTGGATTTATGGAGGGGTGGGTGTGTTTGAGATATCAAATAGTACCAACTGCGTGCATTGGAGGAGTGTCCCCATTTTCAGTAATCACTAATTTACTTTTGATCTGTAGCCTCCAGAACTGGATCCCAGTGCACTTTGGTTATAGAGAATAGAGAGCCAGCAGATGGAGGGACTTTGGGAATTCCTGTTGAAGCTGCTGTCGATATGGCTGATTCTTGGAATCACTCTCATTATGCTGCCTGCCATGTTTGGGGTTTCATTGGGAATAACAGAACTTTACATGAAAATTCTTGTCAAGACTCTTGAGGTAAGGACCTGTCATTTAATAAGGGATCTATCACAGGTCACACTTGGACTTAAATTCTGGGATTGTGTCTGATGTTGGAAGAAAATATTGGAGGTGACTATTTCCTGAATGAGCTCAATGGGACCTGGTGGGTCCATGACCCTCTTGAGTTTCAGGCTATTCAATAGTTATTGTTGAGGTTAGGGTTAGATGTTTGATTACTCTAGGTCAAGTCGGCATGAGGGGGGGGGGATGTATTGGGTATTTTAAAAGGCATTAGGGTGGACAAGTCCCCACGTCTGGATGGGATCTATCCCAGGATACTGAGGGAAGCGAGAGAGGAAATAGCTGGGGCCTTAACAGATATCTTTGCAGCATCCTTGAGCACGGGTGAGGTCCCGGAGGACTGGAGAATTGCTAATGTTATCCCCTTGTTTAAGAAGGGTAGCAAGGATAATCCAGGTAATTATAGACCGGTGAGCCTGACGTCAGTGGTGGGGAAGCTGCTGGAAAAGATACTGAGGGATAGAATCTATTTACACTTGGAAGAAAATGGGCTTATTAGTGATAGGCAGCATGGCTTTGTGCAGGGAAGGTCATGTCTTACCAACTTGATAGAATTCTTTGAGGAAGTGACCAAGTTGACAGATGAAGGAAGGGCTATGGATGTCATATACATGGACTTCAGTAAGACATTTGATAAGGTTCCCTATGGTAGGCTGATGGAGAAAATGAAGTCACATGGGGTCCAGGGTGTACTAGCTAGATGGATAGAGAACTGGCTGGGCAACAGGAGACAGAGAGTTGTAGTGGAAGGAAGTTTCTCAAAATGGAGAACTGTGATGAGTGGTGTTCCACAGGGATCCGTGTTGGGACCACTGTTGTTTGTGATATACGTAAACGATCTGGAGGAAGGTATAGATGGTCTGATTATCAAGTTTGCAGATGACACTAGGATTGGTGGAGTAGCAGATAGTGAAGGGGACTGTCGGAGAATGCAGCAGAATATAGATAGATTGGAGAGTTGGGCGGAGAAGTGGCAGATGGAGTTCAATCCAGGCAAATGAGAGGTGATGCATTTTGGAAGATCCAATTCAAGAGCGAACTATATGGTAAATGGAAAAGCCCTGGGGAAAATTGATGCACAGAGAGGTCTGGGTGTTCAGGTCCATTGTACCCTGAATGTGGCAAGGCAGGTCGATAGAGTGGTCAAGTGGCATACGGCATGCTTTCATTCATCGGACGGGGCATTGAGTACAAGAGTTGGCAGGTTATGTTACAGTTGTATAGGACTTTGGTTCGACCACATTTGGAATACTGCGTACGGTTCTGCTCGCCACATAACCAAAAGGATGTGGATGCTTTGGAGAGGGTGCAGAGGAGGTTCACCAGGATGTTGCCTGGTATGGAGGGTGCTAACTATGAAGAGAGGTTGAGTAGATTAGGATTATTTACATTAGAAAGACGGAGGTTGAGGGGGCACCTGATTGAGGTCTACAAAATCATGAGAGGTATAGACAGGGTGGATAGCGAGAAGCTTTTTCCCAGAGTGGGGGACTCACTTATTAGGGGTCACAATTTCAAGGTGAGAGGGGAAAAGTTTAAGGGAGATATGCATGGAAAATTCTTTATGCAGAGGGTGGTGGGTGCTGGAACGCGTTGCCAGCGGAGGTGGTAGAGGTGGGCACGATAGCGTCATTTAAGATGTATCTAGACAAATACATGAATGGGCAGGGAGCAGAGGGATACAGATCCTTGGAAAGTAGGCAACAGGTTTAGATAGAGGATCTGGATCGGCGCAGGCTTGGTGGGCCGAAGGGCCTGTTCCTGTGCTGTAATTTTCTTTGTTCTTTGTTCTTTGTTCATGTCAGCAGCCATGGGCTCTCATCACATCTCGAGTATGTACGTTTTATTTAGTAACTTTAATTTTAAGGTGCTTTGGCTGTCTCTTTGTTTCGGGTGTTCATAATAAATTCATCTGCAATTTGTATGGTGAGCAACTGAACGGTTGATAATTCTGGATCGTACTGGGATTTGTCCTCAGTACCCCAGGATTCCCACTGTTTATCAACCAATGACCACATCTGGAATTGAACACAGCTGGATGTCACATGGGCCAGATGTCGCTGTAATCTTATCCATTCACCCCAGTCCGCTTCCCATGTCCCCTCTGCCACTTTTCTTTTCTCACCCCCACACTTCTGTCACATATGACTGAACAATATTGCCTTTACTCAATAACTGGTTTGGACTCGCCTCTGAAGAAAGGATGACAGCCAGCATACACTGGAAGAAACAATCCAAAATTCTTCTTTTCCTGTTCCAGCTGTTTTTAAGTGAAATATGATCTTGAAAGAAGTGTTTCCATCATGTGGTTATTCTATTAGCTGAAGAAAAAAAAAAATCTGTCCAAAATAAAAAGACACTGCTTCCAACATCTTCTCTAATGTAAACTGTCACTTAGCTTCATGAACCCGCAGTCTACCCTTCATTGTAAAATTACATTGCATCCCTCAACCTCATTAAGGCTGAATGTTCTGAAATTGGATGGACCTTGATAAATATTGCAACACGTCTTTTTTTTCTTGACACTTCTTGGCAGTTTATTTTACAACTTCTATTGCAACTGGGAAGCATAGGAGGGAGAAGCAAACACTTGAGCAGATAATTGATTAAATCTTAGCCTCCTATATTGTGGGAAAGCTTCGGCAAAGTGGGATATAATTTTGATTAGCATGTCATGGTGCAGTAGTTTGGAGAGAATCAAGCTCTGCTTTATTTCAAACAAGTCAAGTAACCATCTGAGGTACTGAAACAGATTGCATTATGGGACAAGTCAGTGCTTGGGATTTTCCAGTCATTTTTGACTCTAGAAAAAGCTGTTTTTAAAGCAATGCTGATTAAAGATAAGTGGGAAAGTTGGAGAATGTATAGGTAGTATAACATGCACATCCTCCCCCCCCGCCAGGTCATCTTATCAAGTACGAACAGAATCTGCTATTGATAGACAGACACACTATTCCTTTGCAAACCCACCTCTCACCAACATCCCCTCACACCACTGTAATGGTGTAAAGAACTAGGAGATGGTGCTTCGAAGGAAACTCCAAAATTGAATGGCTTGCCAGTGGCACTTAAAACAGTTCAATGTGATTCACACCTTTTATGTTGATCTATAGAATGGCTATGCCTGATTTTAACCTTAGGGGAACATCTAACTTGAGCTTTTCCTAACTGAGGTGCATTCTGCTATCTTTTAGTGGGCAACTCGAAAAATACAAAAAAGAGCACGGGAACAGCCTGGCCACCCTTATTCTCCTTCCAATGGTAAGGTTTATATTTTCTCTGTTAAAATCTGTAATAAAAAGGGGGAAAGATGATACTTCATGATAAATCAGTGCGTGCACAAAATGTAAAAAGCTTATTATGGAAGCAACAATTGAGGCTGCCAATTTGGGGAAACTATATTAACTTGTCTGGACTTATAAGACACCTTCAAGGGACTCGAACCCAGATCTTCTGGCCTTGTGCTGGGGATTATGGGCACAACTTTGATCTTTACTTTTAAAAATTGTAGCTAATGAATTGACCAGCAAACTTCCTCTTTATGGTCTCTGTAGATGAAGAAACTCTGAAATAGCTAAAGGTATCTAGGCCACCCTTCTCTGCAGGGAAAGCAACTTGTATTAAAGTAAGGAACTGGTATTAGTTTGGCTTGGAGCAGAAGAAGGCAGGTTTCTTGCTATGGATCTTCGGTCACTGTCACTATCTAGTCTTTGTTATCACAGTGATGTTCCATCTATTTGAAAGGACAAGCAAATAATGCTGAAACTGGAGATGTCAGGGTTTACTTTGATCCCAGTGACATTCACTTTTCTGCTTGAAGCAGCCATCAGTGGGGAATGATGTCAGCAGCCAAAGCAAAATGATAGAATATCATGTTCTTAGATTAAACTTTGGAAATGCCAAGAGAATGCAAATTCAGTTTCAGATATTGATTAAATTTAAGCAAAATTTGGTGAAAATATCAGTGCATCTTTCATTTCTTAGCTGTTTGTAGAATGTAATTACCTTTCTCTTCCTGACTTGTTGTGGCGGTGTTATCAGACAAACTGCTCAGATTATATTAGGAAATAAGTGTTTGTAAAAAATTACTCCATCTCTTAAAGTGATAGAAATCAGACCCACCTGATGAAAAGTTTCGATTCTTCTTGTGTGTCCGATCTTGTCATGAAGAGTACGTAAGGGAAAGAGGATTTATTCTGGGGGCAGGATTATATATTAGAAGGCATTGGAAGCAAAATATTACAGGATAGTTGGCTGTAAAAGAACTGAGTACAGTGTTTGCTGAGAATACAGTGAAATAAGGTTAGTTTGCCAAATCATGCACTATGCTGACTTTGTCAAGCAGATGATGGTAATATGATAATCTTTATCAAACCATCAAGAAGAACTCTGTCCATCTGAAAGAGTTCTATATGCATACAAAACAGTGCATGATCACGACATTGTAAAATGTGAATACAATTCAGTATCCTTGCTTTGATTGTCACGTCATCTGCCGCAGGAGAATTATTTCAGGAATTATCTAGGCTACTTTTGGATCCCATATTAATTCATATCTATCTTGTGTCCAATATTAAGCAATGGCCTGGTGGTATTAATTGTTGGACTGTTAATCTGGGGACCTGGCTTTGAATCCCACCATGGCAGATGGTGAAATTTCAATTCAATTCAATAAAAGTCTGGAATTAAGAGTCTAATTATAGCCGTAAATCCATTGTTGGTTTTTGAAAAGAGCATCTGGTTCACTAATGTCCTTTAGGGAAGGAAACTGCCACCCTTACCTGGTCTGGCCTATATGTGACTCCAGACCCACAGCAATGTGGTTGACTCTTAACTGCTGTCTGGGCAATGAATGCTGGTGGATGCCCACATCTTGTGAATGAAAGAAGAGAAAACATGGCACAATTTTCATCTTCAAATGACTCCAGGAAGCTTTGAGGAACTAATGTGTGTAATGCTAATTTGTGTTCTTTTAAGGTGCGTTGATTCTTTGGGTAAATTTACAGGGAATTGTTGTCACGATGTTTTGAATTAATTGTGACTTATAAATTGAGAGATACAGATCTTGTTAGTGTGACTTTGTCCAGTCACACCTTGTGCCATGTTTTGATTTGAGTGGAACCCTACCCATTGCCTGGGATAATTGAGAATACTGCTAGTAACATAAGCTTGTACTTCAGGAGTTGGGTATTTCTAGTTGTAGGGAGTTCCACATTAGTCAGCGATGGAAAGAAAAGACTATTTGCCTATTTGAATGGGCTGAGCATTCTCACCACAAGTGGAATCACAGATGGGCATCAGTGCTTTTGGAGCTCCCTGTCCCACTTTGTTTGTACTGCACTGTTGCTGAAGGCAGAATGAAATAGCGCCAAATATCTTTAATTGCCATTGCCTATACGGGGAATACTGAGAGTTTACCTTTTGAACTGCAATGGAGAACACGATCAGATAAATTCACATTGTTCACAGATTTAAATGATCATTGATGATGATGGTTGCACATAATTTTGAAAAATTCACATTGCAAGCATGCACTCTGGCCAATTATCACATGCTACCATTGCAAAAGATAATCTTTTGTGCATCATTTCTGCTTTTCCTGAGCAAGGCTAATGTATTAATATCTGATAAAATTAGCCTTTATCAAATTTCTTCAATTGTAGGCCAAATGAAGAGGTTTTTTCTCTTTAAGCACTAAACTACACTCCTCTCACATTTGGCCCTGAATAATTAGCATCAATTGGCATGTGTTTACTTCCCTTCTGCTGTGGGAGCCATCTTAACAAAGCATCTATTCTACATCAGCATTTTATTTGTTTATCTTATAAAAGAAGTATCTGGCATTATAATGTCTTTTTATTAACGTGACCATTTTACTTCTGAAGTTGGTGGTCTCTAAGCTATTTCAGCACAAGATCAACGAATTTAAGTGCAACCTAGGATGCACCCCAAAGAAAACATAGAATAAGTAGTTTATTTTTTGTGCTGATAAATATGTGTAATTATTTATTTTGTCCTCTACTCACCAAGTCTCAGTGTGACACCTGTGGCTGACTGCACGTTATCTGCCAGTGCCTTGAAATCTGGCTTGTAGTTTGAGACTGCTAGTCACATGTAGTCCATCAAATGGATATCTGAGAGGCAGGAATGCTTGATTATCTTCACGTGGGAGAATGCTGTCTCAGCTCTATGGAATCAAAGTTAAGTTTTCACTTTAAAAGCACAGAATGATTGAAGTGGGTATTTTTCTCACTGGGCGTTCCCAAAAATCACAGTCCCTTGATCTGACTTTCAGTTCAATCATTTTGCATAGTAATTGTCTCCACATCAACTTTGTAAATCATATCAATCTCCATAGTAAACTTTGTGAATCAAACACCTGGTGGAATTTGGTAGCCAGGCCACCAATGTCTAGGTGAAGGAATGGATTTGGGACAAACATGACCATTTATTCCATCACCCTCATTCCTGAAATCTCCTGTTGAATTTCTCTGCTAACATTCTCAAGTATGTGCAGACATTTTCTGTGTGGAACTATTTTTCCTTGTTTTTGATTTGTTTGTACTACTTTCTCCACATTCAGGAAGTATTGCAGTTTTTTAGTTGTTAATTGGGAGGACCACAGATCCAATTTCAATTGGAATGCATTCACAGTCTGATCGTATGCACTGAGTCTCTGTCCATTCCTTGCAGTTCACAGATTGGCTTGTTCAGTTTTGACATTGTCTGTAAGGAACTTGAAGACCAGCGATCACTTTCTCTGACAGCTCACTGCACCCTTGATTTCAAGCATAGTGATGATTTCAGGCATCAGATCTAAATATCTTTGCAGGGCTTTCCCTTGCCATAAAGTCCTTGCAGCAGCGTGGACGATTAGTTTATCATAAGCAGCATTAAGTTTGTCAAGTAAGGATTTGAACACGCAATGCTGAATGACTCTTGCTCAAATCAAGTTTACAGTCTTAATTTTAAATATGTGAGAAAAGTCCATAACTTTTACTTGGTAATGTTTACTGGTGGATTATACAGTGATAATTGGCAAAAGAGGGGATGTCAGGATCATTTCTGCCAAGTATGCCTAGTACGCTCCATTGTGATGAAACCAATTTCTTGATTGGGAGATAGCAGGAGCTGCCAATGCTGGAGTCAGAGATAACACAGAGATAACCCTTCTTCAGAAAGGGTCCCGACCTGAAACGTCAATTTTCTTGCTCCTCTGATGCTGCCAGTTTCTTGATTGGAATGTTTTTTTCTCATGCACGTAATGTTTTTGAATCTGTTATAAGTATTCTCACCCATTGTTCCCTTGTTTAAGGGGCGAAAGGATGAGAGGATCCTTTTTAGTGTCATATAGCCCTTCAATCCCCATCCATGCCAACTGTAATCCCAAACTAAACTAGTCCTACCTGCCTGTGCTTGGCCCATATCCCTCCGAGCATTTCTTATTCATGCACTTATCCAAATGTCTTTTAAAGATTGTAACTTCCTCTGGCAGTTCATTCCACATACGAACCACTATGTAAAACAAAGAGTTGCCTCAAGTGTCCTTTTTAAATCCTTCTCCTCTTATCTTAAAAATTATGCCTCCTCGTCTTGAAATACCCCATCCTAGGGCAAAGATACCTGCCATTCACCTTATCTATACCCCTCATGATTTTATAAACCTCTAGAAGGTCACCCTTCAACTTCCTATGCTCCAGTGAAAAGGTCCTAGCCTACCACGCCTGTCCTTTATAACTCAATCTCTCCATTCCTAGCAACATCCTGGTAAATCTCTTCTGAACCCTCTCCAACTTAATAATATTCTTGCTATAATAGTGCAACCAGAACTGGACACAGTACTCCAGAAGAGGCCTCACCAACATCATGTACAATCTTAACAATAATGTCCCAACTCCTCTGCTTAATTATCTGAGCAATGAAGGCGAACGTGATAAACGTCTTCTTAACCACTCTATCTATGTGTGATGTAAACTTCAAAGAATTATATGCTTGAACCCCTATATCTCTGTTCTACAACACTATTTATTATGTCCTTTAAAAACCATGCACACTCAAACAGTCAGCTGGATTGTGGCAGTCACATATGTAGATTCAACGAGCTGCAGTGAGAAGCATTCACAGTCTTTCAGGTCCTACTGTAGTCACTGAAAGACATCTTTGGACAGATTCCACTTGTCTTGCTTCTGCAGAAGCAACAAGTGACGTGCTCTGGATTGCTGTTAGTCTTATAGTATTTGGATAAAGAGTCAGTGGCCACG